AGAGGAGGATTGGCAGATGTTAGCACAGGGCTGATCTTCCTCACAAAAAAAAAATATATATATATATATGTATATATATATGGAAGGCACTTGTCATTAACACTACAATTTGCTGCTTTCTCTTATGATTTTTATAGACCCAAGTGCCTCTTTATAAAATCTACTACAAAATTGCTTTTCAGATTGCTACTAGCTGTCATTCACATGTTACTGAGTATCTTTTGCATGATAACTGTTTGGCCCAGTGCTTTGTTGCACTAGGTTAGGTAAGCCAAGGAAATCTCCAAGAGAACCAGGGGTGGAGGGTGGAAATTTCCATTGAAAAACACAGCCATTTTGCAACTTCAAAAATATCATTGGCCAGGAGTTGCCCTTGGGAGTAGTTTGTTTGGCATAGAATAGCTTATTTTCCCAGCATGACCTTAGGATATAATTTGGTAATGAGATCATTTGGCAACCTTGAGCTTTAATATACTGAAATTAAATAATTGAATTGGCTGTGGTCTTTAACCTACCTTACTCTTCCAAGGTAGGAATTTGGCCAAGATTATGAATAAACACTTGAGCTTTCAAGACTTCCATTTTGTAATTATAATTTGAATAATATGAAAGGACAACTCTCCTTAGTAGCACAGAGTGTCTTTATATGAACAAATGTAAATTCCTTCATTGTGTATAAAGTTTCCTCTTGAGGCTCAATTCGGGACCAACCCTTTCTATGATCACTGCAGCCAACGTTTCTTACTTCTTGTTTTTACCTCATAAGGCGTACATTGTATTTATCATTCATTTTGACCCGCAGAGACAGCTTTCTGTTCATAACGGCTCTATTTTTCCAACTATCCTTGAAGTTTTTGAGAGAAGGGGCCATGTTTGACTTATTTGGATTTACTTAAACATCAGATTCAAGTGCTGCATACCAAAGAGGAACTCAATCGGTGCCAGTTGGTTGAGTGATTGTAAAGTATCATTGATTCACGCATAGGAATGTCACCAATTCTATGTTTCTTCTTAGAGTCCCAGGTTTACATCTATTTATGCATATAAACAAGAATTCCATCCCACGTGCTTTGATTCCAAAGTCCAATACAATTACAAGTAGCGTAGGAATGGGAGTATTAAATGTCTTATCTAGTTAAAATATTGACCTTAAGGTGCATTAAACAGCAGCTTCCAATAAAACTTTTTTTAGAATTGGCAGTTTTTGGTTTTTCATCTCACCACTGAAATGTATGATTTTCAAATCTAAATAGGGAAACTGATAAATCACAAAGAAGAAAGTTGCCAGCTGATTTTTAATCTTAAGGTGATCAGGTTGATCTTTTACTCAGGAGTCCCCAGTCCTGCTACCTCAATCCCCTTCTACCCAGAGTATTACCCCCATCCGTTACTCAGAAATTTACCATAGTGCCATGTACTGAGTATTTAGCTAGTAATTAAACCATGAGGCTTCTCTATGTTTTCTACACAAAACCACAGCCAACTTATTTTTTCTTTCTGACACAATATCTTTTTGAAAATGTTTACAGATGTAAGTCTATGTACCTTGAAAAAGAAGAAAAGGAAGATGGAAGCAAAGCTTTAGGTCTCGACAAAGATTTACTTGAAGTTGATACTAACGAGCTTCTAAAAAAGTGAAGACAGCGTTACACTATTTTCAGAAGGAAAAAAAACACACTACTAAACAGACATCGTGTTTGAGCCCTCTCTGGTACAACACATAATTACCACTCTTATGGTGTATTCATTTTGTTTCTGCTTAATCTTGTTGTTGAGTTGACTTAATTTAGCAACCAAATGGGACAATGAACAACTAATTTAGACTATAATTCCTGAGAAAATGTTCACTTAGATAACAAAATGCAAAATTCCTTTACTAATCTAGATAGTCATTAGCTTGATGATGGCATTGTTGCTATTGGGGAGACTGTGCTATCTGTTCTGAGATTGCACCTAAATTCTTCTAAATCTTTCTGCTGAAACTAGTCCAGGAGAAGTAAATGGAGGTTGACTTTTGGACTAAAAATGATTGCACCCCAACACTCTCAACCCAGATCTCATCCCAGATCTCTGCATTGATTTAGTGGTAGCAATCTTGGGAAATTTTGCCTGTTCCAAAGACAGCTAGAATGAGTCATTCAGGAGAAGGAGCTCTCAGTGGATAATAAGAGCTTCTATGTCCAAGTCAATTTTGCTGCTAGAATATGTAGCGGTCAGCATATTTCAAAGGTATGGAGAAGTGGTTCCTCTTCCTAAACCAAATGCTCCCACTCCATACAATTTTCCAAGGCAGCGATTTATCATGAAGCCTTTCTGTATGAGCATCTGTCTTTAGTCAACTCCACTTTTTTATTATCTGTTTCTTGTTTTCTTAACGAATGTAATACTTAGTCCTGTGAAACATAAATTATATATATACACATATATAGTACCAACAAAAATTTTATAGTTGCTTGTAAATATAGTATTTACAACATGAAATCTTATATATTTCTCTTATGTTAAGAACAGAATATTCATTTCTCCTCTCTCCTCTGTAGAGATGTGTTCTAAAATATTACTCTTGTGGACACACTCTAAGGGACCCCCAGTGAGTCATGCCCTTGTATAATCCCTTTCTCTTTAGTGCAGACAGAACCTGTGACTGTTTCAAACCAACAGAATATGGCAAAGCTGAGGGGATTTTGCTGTTGTAATGAAGGTCCCTGATTAGTTGACTTGGAGTTAATCAAAAGGGAGATTATCCTGGGTGGGTCTGACCTAATCAGGTAAGCCCTTTAAAGGAGGGTCTGAGCCTTCCCTGAAGCCAGAAACTTGAAGCTGCAGAGACTCTGTGTGTATGTGTGTGTGTGCATGCATGCGTGCATGTGTGCATATTCTTGGCTTTGATGAAGCAAGCTATCATGAATTCTACAGACACAAGGAAATGAATTCTGCCAACAACCTCAGGGAGCTTGGAAGCAGATCCTTCCCTAGTTGAGCCACCAGATGAGAACACAGCCCAGCCTACATCTTAATTTCAGCCTTATGAGACCCTGAGCAGAAAACCCAACTACCCCATGCCTGGACTTCTGACCCACAGAAACTGTGAGATTATAAAAGTGTGTTTTTTTTTTTTATAACTTTACTTATTTATTTTTCCCCCAAAGCCCCAGTAGATAGCTGCATGTCATAGTTGCACATCCTTCCAGTTGCTGTATGTGGGACGCGGCCTCAGCATGGCCGGAGAAGCGGTGCATCGGTATGCGCCCGGGATCCGAACCCAGGCTGCCAGCAGCAGAGTGCGAGCACTCAACCGCCAAGCCACGGGGCCGGCCCAGGTGTGTTATTTTAAGCCACTGAGTTTGTGGTTTGTTATGCAGCAATAGGAAACTTATGCAACAACATTTAAAATGATTATTTATGAAACACTACAAGCATTTCCTTTAAATTTAGGAAGAAGACAAGAATGACTACTCTTGGCACTTTCAACATTGTACGAGAAAGAGCCAAAGGTATTATTGTTTGCAGATATTTTCATTGTTTATCTAGAAACCCCAAGAGAATATATTGATAATCTATTAGAAACAACGTGTCTGCCAAATTAACCTACATATACTCATGGTTTCCTGCATAGAAACCATAATCAGCTAGAATATCTAAGAGAAGAAAATATACTACTTATGATAGCAATAATAACACAATAAAATACCTGGAAATAAGCTTAGAAGAAATGTTCAAAAACTATATGAAGAAAAAAATGAAACTCTACTAAGAAGCATACAAGAAGACGTGAATAAAAATATAAAATGAGTTTGAAATCTAAGGAAATTCAATATTATAAAGATGTCCATCTGCCATAAACTAATTGACCGATTCAGTTAAAAAATAAATTAGCTTTTTAGGCAGAACTTGACAAAATGACATGAAAATTGATATGGAACAGTAAATATAAGAAAATCTTAACTATCTTGAAAATTGTCCTGTGAGTGTTAACCACGTTCCCAGCCCAATTCTGCTCTGAGTCTCATTGAATTCTCACACAGCCCTGTGAGACAGGTGGTATTATCATCCCCATTTTATAGATGCAGAAACAGCAGCTTTGAGACACGAAGTAACTGCCTGATATGTGCTAGAGCCAAGATTTGAACCAAGCATTCCAACATCAGAGCCTGAGTCCTTGACTGATTTTCCACTCTGCTTAGAATGAATTGGGCAGTTCTGCAAGATACTGAAATGTTTTATAAAGCTACTGTAATAAAAACAGTCTTTCTGGCGTAAGAAGAGGTGGTGAAAAGAAATAGTTAAAATAGAATCATGGGGCCGGGCCCATGGCTTAGCGGTTAAGTGCGCATGACCCGCTACTGGTGGCCCGGGTTCGGATCCCGGGCGCGTACCAACGCACTGCTTGTCCGGCCATGCTGAGGCCGCGTCCCACATACAGCAACTAGAAGGATGTGCAACTATGACATACAACTATCTACTGGGGCTTTGGGGGGAAAAGGGAGGAGGATTGGCAATAGATGTTAGCTCAGAGCCGGTCTTCCTCAGCAAAAGGAGGAGGATTAGCATGGATGTTAACTCAGGGCTGATCTTCCTCACAAAAAAAAAAAAAAAAACAGAATCATGATTTCAGACAAATCCTTGTGAAAAATTGGTATATAATAAAGGTAGCCTTTCAAATGAGTGGAGAAAAGATGGATGTTAAATAAATAATATTGGGGCAATTCACCACCCATTTGGAATAAATAAAAGTAAAACAACAAAGCTAGATCCTGGCCTTAATTGTTACACCAAAATAAATTCCAGAGAGGTCAAAGATTTAAATGCAACAATGAAGGCTTCAAAGTACTGGAAGAAGATACACGTATATTGTTATTGTTTTAAATAGTCTAGTAGTGGGTAAAGTGTTTCTGAACACAGCAAAAGAAAAGAAAAAGAATGATAAATGTGACTGTGTTGAAACTTACATCTTCATGCCAAAAAAAAAAGTAACAATCAAAAAAATAAAATGGGGCCTTGGGCCCGGAAGGGTGATGTGGCTGGGGCTTCGCCGGCCTCACTATGTCTGCCATTTTCAATTTTCAGAGTCTGTTGACTGTGATCTTGCTGCTTATAGGTACCTGTGCTTATATCCGATCCTTGGCACCCAGCCTCCTGGACAGAAATAAAACTGGATTGTTGGGTACATTTTGGAAGTGTGCCAGAATTAGTGAACGGAAGAGTCCTTATGTTGCAATATGCTGTATAGTGATGGCCTTCAGCATCCTTTTCATACAGTAGCTTGGGAAAATGCCAGAATTTTATTGTCATCAGATTTCAGTATGAAAAAAAAGGACTTAGCTGCAGAAAATAATGGAAAGAAGGGTTAACCCATTTATCTCTGAACATTGAATGAGATAAATTTCCAGCTGCTGTTCTCTATTTTTGTTATTGGACCAATGTTCTATATAAATAATTAGGATGTAACCATTTGCTACTCAAAGAGTTTAATATGTCTGTAACAATCAGCCTCAGTACTGTCACTACAATATTACATTCTGCAAATGTCCTTCTGTTGTGTCAGATACCAGTTTTTAGTGAGCTATCTCTAAGATACATAGTAGAGAACAAAATTGGTAAATTACTCGAGTTCCTTTCACAGTGATTTGGAAATGATATATCTTTATAGACTGAGACCTTTTTTTGTACTAGTTTTTTAATCGGGAAAAAAAAGTTTCAGTTTGTGTTGGTAAGGATTGCATTCATATTTAATAATGCTTGCTTTTCCTCTGGGCACACCGTTTTGAGCATTAACCACAGTACCTCTACTCTTAGCCAACTGTAGTTTATTATAGGTGTTTAAACTATTTAAAATAAGCCTATGCAGTTCTTAAGGAGGAACATAAATAAGATGTAACTTGAGTAGTATTGCTAAAATGTTCATATTTAACGTAAAGGAGTTTAGAATAGCTGACTGGTGGAGTAGCCTCTGAAACCTCTCTGGTTAAGTATGGATAAATGTCTTAAGCATAAATTTGACCAGCTAACTGTTGTTCTCTAAATAAGACTACATTCTTAGAATGAAAAGAGCAGAATAGAACAATTACAGAATGATAATCCTGTACGTGTTTTTCATTTTATTTTTAGTGTCAGGTCTTCACTTATTTTAATTGCCCCAAAATGCAAACTGTATTCTTTTTGTTGTTTTTTAATACAGCACTTTAAATCTAGTTTATGGTTTGTCTGTCAGCTTGAACTGGAATCTCTTGTATAACTTAGTAGGTGATGGTAAACTGTTTTTAAATCTACTTATCCATAAAAAAAAAAAAAGAATAAAATGGGAAAATATTTGCAACACATATAACAAAAAGAAGAATTTCCTTAACATACAAAAGACTTTAACAAATCAATAAGAGAAAGATGAAAAGATGAACACCACAATAGAAAATTGGACAAAGAATTTGAACAGAGTTCAACACGAATATGGAAATACAATTTTTTTAAAACCTCTTATTGTGAGGAATTTCAAACAAACAGAAAAGAAGAGAGATTGGTTCAATGAACATCCACTTCCACCCTGCACCCATTCCCAGGTACAATAGTCATCAAGTCATCAGCTCACGGCCACTCTTGTTTCATCCATACTACACACACACACACACACACACACACACACACACACATACACATTCCCAACCTATCCACCTCTGCACTGCATTATTATGAAGCAAGTCATTTTATCTGTAAATACATCAGAGAATATATTGAAGATTTTTATAATCTTACATATAACGCTATTTTTCCTATTGTATTGGCAAAGATCACTTAATTGGAATTAGTCGAGCTGAGGGCCTTGAAAGAGGGAGAAAACCGAAAAAATATAGCTCATACCTGATACTCTCTGAGAGGGGAAAAAAGGGAGTTTGGGTAAAAGATCAGATATTTTCAGCCTTCCTTCAACAAGTAGAACACTATCAGTCACAACTGCTTGAATACTGCATCTGGCACAAGCGCGAAGGAGGCATTCTTGGAGAAAACTGGCCAGGAGAAGACTTGGGTTGAGCAGGAGTCAGGAAAGGTGTTTGAAATCAATTCTTTATAAGTGCATTATCTATGTTCCAAGTATTCACAGTCTGGGGGATGACGGTGTTAGCCTGCAAACTTCTGGAGGCAGGCACCTCATCTTTTCTTCTGTGCTAATGCCGTACAGCATATTTGCCGGTAGGTAATCAACAATGATGAAGGGATGCTTCAGTGGACACACCTTCCCTCACTTGCTGACTGACCTTGATGCATTGGTTCCCAAACACACTTATCAGTGCAGAAGCTCTCTGTGGCTTCATATGAATAAAACGAACAGCAATAATTGAGAGAGGGCGGGGCCTTCAGGGTTACTGAGCACATTCAGAAAGGTATGCTGCCCGATACGGAGAACAGGTTTCCTCCCTGAGAACTGCCCATGAGTCACTTCCCTCATTGGATCAATGCTGTCATGACTTTGTCTTCCTTATAGTTATGTCAGGGAGGGAGCTGGTGATTCAACAAGCAGAGACCTGACTTCTGGGCGGACATGAGTGGCTGTGCAGGGCATTAATAGTATACATTTCCTTTAAGAAAGTCTGAGTGAGATGGATTCGGTCCTGGATGAGCTGGATGAGAAACCCTGTTGAGACTGAATCCACAAATGTCACCTCCCAGCCAGCTGACCTCCCTAATCTCCAAAGCCCTTGATGATGAGCAGGGAGACTTCATTTTGTTCAACAAACCTCAGCTATTTAAGCACATACTCTGTGTGTATGTGTAGGGAGTGAAGGCACAGAGGGGGTTGCATAAATGATGAGGATGATAAGATGGAGTCCTAGCCCTTGGTGATTTTACAGTCTGGAGAGGAAGAACAGTATGCGGGTGAGGCTGACAGTTTTTGAGTATCTGCTTTGCTCCAGGCACCATATTAGGCACTTAGGCATTATCTAAGGACGATTCGAGGTCCCAATTGCTCTGTGAGTTCAGAAAGGTTTTGAAGCTTTCGTGAGGAACTAACATTGGAACTAGCACTTGAAGAATAGGTATGATTTTAACAGGTTGAATGGGCGAAAGCAGCTGAGGGAGAGAGGACGTATTAATCAAATAGGGGCTGTGCTTCAGGAATGGGGAATATGCTGTTTGGCTCTGCATGCCGTTTTCTAAAACGTTACCACTGCTGCAGTAGCCTCCTGCTTGATCTTCCTGCCTCCTCTCTCTCCTTAGCTTATTCTACAAACAACTGTGAGATTCATCTTCATAAAACCAGTACCTGACCAAATCAGGACGCTACTGTCTACTCTACTTTCTTCAAAAAGGAAGAAAGTTAGGGAAGGAGAGAGGGAGGAGGGGACCTCTCAATGAGTCCTCACTCCCTACAGAACAAAGTCCAAACTCCTTATCATTCAAAGCCTTGAGCACCTAGCAGTGCCGATTGGTGAATTTTTAGCTTCCTCCTCTGCCATGCCTTCCCCCACAGCTCCCCCTGCTTGCCACATTCCAGCCACCTGTCAAACGTGTCATATATTTTACTCTTCTATGCCTTTATTCATGGCTTTCCTTCTGCCTGAAATGGACTAGCCTCTGTCAAAATCCGTTTAAGATTTTAAGATTCAGTTTAACTGACACATTCCCTAAGAAATTCCTAACTACTCATTCCAAATTAAGCGTTCTTTCTTCTGTGGCACCACAGCGCAACCTGCCTCTATTCTAGCACTTGTCACTGTCTGTCTTCTGACACTGGACCTGGAGTCAGGTGACCTGGGCTCAAACCCCCAGCCCTGCCACTTAAGAACTGTATGGATTGGGGAACTTCTGTCTCTTGGAGGCTTAGTTTCCTCATTTGTAAAAACGAAATATTTAAGATCTACTTCACAGAATTAAGAAATAATATATGTGAAAGTACTTTGTAAACCACTGCACGTGTAACATTTTTACATTTACATTTTTAAACAAGTTGTATTGGGAAAACTCAGTTTTTCCTTCCTATGTAGGGAAAAACCCAGTTCTTCCCTACTATGTCTTTCTTCCCTGCATGCCTCCTTTCCCTCCACAGAGCACACTTCACTTCTGACTTGCTGGTCACCAAATGTATGGAGGCTTTTTTCTCCACACCAAGCAATTCTCTGCGACACCAGCTGAGTGCACTACAATTTAATTCAATTCTGACACTATCTGCCTGGAGATAGCGTCAGATCCCACAGGTTAAGGGCTCAGTCCCACAAGACTCCTACCCACCCCCACCACCACCCCACACACACACACTCTTCAGATGCCAGTTGCAAGCCCAGGATGTCACTTGGGCTTCTGACCAACCAGCTATAGATCGGAGGTTCCAACCACCTCCTCCTCAGTTCGATTAATTTGCTAGAGAGGCTCACAGCACTCAGAAAAACATTTTACTGGTTTATTATAAAAGGATATAATTGAAGATGCAGATGGAAGAAATGTGCAGGGCAAGGGACGTGCAAAGGGGCATGGAGCTTCCATGCCCTCTCCGGGCGCACCCCTCTCCCTGCACCTCCACGTGTTCACCAACCCAGAAGCTCTCCGAATCCTGTCCCTTTGGAATCTTACGGAGGCTTCATCACATAGGCATGATGGATCATGAACTCCATTTCCAGCCTTTCTCCCTTCTCAAGAGAATGCGGGCTGAGGCTAGAAATTCCAAGCTTCTAATCACGGCTTGGTCTTTCTGATGACCAGACCCCATCCAGGAGCCATCCAGGAGCCCACCCAGAGTCACCTCATTAAAACAAAACACTCTTATCACCCAGGAAATGACAAGGGTTCAGGAGCTCTGTGCCAGGAACCAGGAGCAAAGACCAATATATATTTCCTATTATCTCACACATGTAAAAGGTAAAAAGTTTCTACTCTACTATAATATAAGCTTCCAAAGAATGGGAATTTTTCTTAACTTATATTTTAAATAATTACCAAAGAGTTGCAAAGATATAGAAACAATCCCCGTAAACTCTTCACCCAAATTCCCCTACTGTTAACATCTTAAATAACCATGGTATATCTATCAAAGCTAAGAAATTAGCATCAGTATAACACTATTAGCTAAAATACAGATTTTAGTCAGATTTTTATGTTTTTCCACTGTCCTTTTTCTGTTCCAGGATCCAATCCAGAATCCCATTTTGTATTTAGTTGTCACGTCTCCTTAGTCTCTTGCAATCTGTGAGTTTCTCAGTCTTTCATCTTTCATGATTGACGTTTTTGAAGAGCGCTGGTTAGGTATTTTGTAGAAGCAGAAAAACCCTCAATTTGTGTTTTTCTGGTGTTTTCTCATGATTAGACTGAGGTTATGGATTTTTGAGAATACCACAGATGATACCCTTCTCATTGTATGTTAGGGGGTACGTGATATCAACATGACTTATTATTGGTGAGCAAAGAGGAGTTTTTGCCTGTTTGTTTCAGATCCAGCATCTAAAACAGCTTGGCACACAGTGGTACTCAATAAATATCTCAGTGAATTTTCTTTTCACTATCATGTGTCTGTGTTTTCCACTAAATTGTAAACTTCTAACTGGCAAAGACTATATCTCATCCATGTTCATAGTTTCCTAATGCCTAGTAGACTTACATTTAGTGAGAGTTCAGTGAACTTTTAGGGATTGAATTGAAAGGTAAATTGGATTCTGGTTGTATCTGCAGGCAAAATCAAGTTTGGTAGTCAGCCATAAGGAACCAGAGACTTATTTTAAGCAGCTCAGTTAAATGGTTTAGTACTTATTAAGTGTCTATTATGTGCTGACGTTCTAAGGGCTGGAGTCCCTACAGTATTTTATCAGTAACTGGAAGGGGACAAGGGGTGGGAAGGAGCACTGGTAGATGCAGGCAGAGAGAGGGCTTTGAGCTTTGAGCCTGATGATGGAGATTTACTGATATCATTCTAAGAAGAAGAAACCAGAGAAGGAAGTTTAGGGTAGAAGATAATTAATTTGGCTTTAAATGTGCTGAATTTGTCTTGTGGGAAACCCTATGGTTTTTGGAGATCTCTGGGAGGTAGTTGTAAATGCTGGGCAGAGGACAGGACAGGCCCAGAGATTTAGATTTCAAGCCATTTCTATTCTAGCCATATCTGAAGCCCAGGAAGGGGATAAAATGAGTCGAGATTGAGTAGGGAGAGAGAATAGGACATCAGATTCTTGAGGAAATTCTGCTCTTAGGAGTAAGAAAGGGAGACAAAGAAGGA